AGTCCAGTTTCACACAGTCATACTTGCCATCATCTGAAAATGGACAGGAAAGGAACATGGAGGCAACTTTTCAGATGCTATGCCCACATGTTTTCCTCCTGCTGACTGGTGGTGGCTCATGTCAGAATCACTCTGAGCTCCCCATTCCTCAGTGAGTTTAGCTTCTCACCACTGTCATCAGCTGCAACTGCTCTCATCCTCTTTCTTATCATGATTACCACTTGCTTGACAGGCAGAGTGTTGGTGGACCAGTAGACAGGGGCATCTACTGTATCCTTTCTACCAGCTGGAGCTGGTCCATCAGCTGTGCCCTTGCCTGCACAGAGAGAGCCTGGCGACATTGACCCATGCACTAGTAATTTCCCATTTGGACTATTGCAATGCCTTTACATGGGACTACCCTTGAAGATGATCTGGATACTTCAACTGGCACAAAATAGAGCAGCTGGGCCAGAAGACATGATCATATAATGCTGGTCCTGCACCATCTGCACTGGCTTCCAATTGAAGCCTAGGCCTGATTTAAGGTGTTGACAATGACATACAAAGCCCTAAACAGTTTAGAGTCTGGCTATCCAAAGGAACACTTCCTTCCATATATATCTGCCTGGTGCTTAAGATATTCTATGGTAGTACTTCTCTGAGAGCCCTCCTTGAAGGAAGTGAGGAGGGCTGTTACAAGGAGAAAGGTCTTCCCATTGGTGGTGTCTCATTTACGGAATGCTCCCCAGAGAGGTTCATCTGGTGCCAACTCATTATTCCTTTTGGCTCCAGACCAGAACTTTTTATTTAACCAGTATTTTAATTGTAGATTTTAATGTATCTTTGATTTAATCCTATTTTAATCAAGTGCTGTAAATTGTTTCTATGTTCTTAAAATTGTAAACCATCTTAAGATTATCTATGAAAATATAGACAGTATAGAAAAAATTAAAATAAATAACCACCACAGTACATCATACCTTTCCCTTCAGTTTACTTCCCAGTGATAAAATTGGTGTATATTCATCCTCATTCACTGCCTAGCTATGAGAACGGCATGTATTTCCCTGTCCAAAAAATGTGCAGATTTCCCAGAGATTTAAAAAGCACGAAGCCTTACAGCAGTGGTGGTGTACCTATGGCACATGTGCCACAGTGGGCACGCGGAGATCTCTCTGTTGGTACGCGAGCCAAGTTGCCCCAGCATCGCCCCAGCAGCCAAACATTGGATAACAGCGTACATAGAGGCCATGCAATGCTCAGAAAGGAGCAGTGGTGCCTGGCGATGACGTCACAAACCGTGACTCGTCCAAGTTTTCGCATGGCCGGTCAGTGCACTGCCAAGGATATATATATACATTTGCGTGGACTGGCTGTGAGCTGCTTTTTCTAAACTAAAACCTCAGCTTTCAGGTTTTATTGTACTGTTGGCACTTTGCCATAAATAAGTGGGTTTTGGGTTGCCATTTGGGCACTTGGTCTCTAAAAGGTTCACCATCACTGGGTTAGGGTCAGAAAAACAAGGTGTCCTGGGATGATTTTGATGGTTGGAATGCGTTTATAGAATGGGCAGAAATGATGAGCAGTGCAGAAAAAGCTCTTCAAGGAAGGCTTTTTCAAAAATGCATTATTTTCAATGGTATTTTACCCCTATGTTGGGGTCAGGGGTGTGCACCAGGGTAGGGTTAGGGTTACGAAAAACGAGGTAGTCTGGCATGATTTTGATGGTTGGAATGTATTTAGAATGGGCAGAAATTTTGAGCAGTGCAGAAAAAGCTCCTCAAGGAAGGCTTATTTGAAATTGCATTATTTTCAATGGTATTTTACCCCTTTGTTAGGGTTAGGGGTGTGCACCAGGGTAGGGTTAGGGTTAGAAAAATGAGTTGTCCTGGTGTGATCTTGATTGTTGGAATGTGTTTAGAATTGTCAGAAATGATGGGCAGTGCAATAAAAGCTCCTCAAGGAAGGCTTTTTCTAAATTTCATTAATTTCAATATCTTTTTACTCCTATGTTAGGGATGGGGGTGTGCACCAGGGTAGGGTTAGAGTTACCAAAACGAGATATCCTGGCATGATCTTGATGGTTGGAATTTGTTTAGAATGTGAAAAAATGATGAGCAGTGTAGAAAAAGCTCCTGAAGGAAGGCTTTTTCGAAATTACATTATTTTCAATGGTATTTTATCCCTATGTTCGGGTTAGGGGTGTGCACCAGGGTAGGGTTAAGGTTAGAAAAACGAGGTGTCCTGGCATGATTTTGATGGTTGGAATGTGTTTGAATGGTTATAAATGATGAGCTGTTCAGCACCAGAGCCCTATGTATCGGCACCTGAGCCAAGTCGCCCCAGCAGCCGAGGATCGGTTAGCAGGGTACCTAGGGGCCATTCGCATGTTCGCAAAGATGTAGCGGCCCCAGCCAATGATGTCTCAAGCTGTGGCTCATTAGCCTCGACTCATCTGAGCTTTCACATGTCTGGTCAGTGCGCTGCCAAGGATATATATATATTTGGTTGGACTTACTGTGATTTTTTCCCCCAAACTAATCTGCAATTTTTAAGTTTCATTGTAGTGTTGGCACTTTGTGCTAAATAAGTGTGTTTTGGTTTGCGGTTTGGGCACTTGGTCTCAAAAATGTTTGCCATCACTGCCATGCAGGGGTGAATGGAATGCTCTCCCATGTTCCCCCACTCATTGTGTCCCATCTAGTTTCCCTGCCAGGGTTCTTTTCACAGCTCCCAGGGGACTGTGGTCAGTGCCATGAAAATAAACTACCAAAAAATGGATGGCCATAAAATTTCTTTCTGGATTAGGGTTCTTAGAAGTAGTTTCTAGCGTAGACTCAATAAACTGCTCTGTGCATGTTCACGAACTCTTTCTTTGCTGGTGAATAAAGACATTTGGCAAAGAATGGCCTGTGGTTTTCGAATGTTGAAGAGGGAATTTTAGCTCCTGACAAGCACAGGCTAAGTCAACAAGAGCATCAAGAGTTTTTCGCAACTTTTGATGAATGGCTCATTACCACTTCTCATAACCCGTGATGGAATCAGATGACACACCAACCCATTATAAGTTCAGAAACCCCCTGAACAAGCCATGGGTTGTCAGAAATAAGCCATCTTGTGAAAGGCAGTTTGAGTTTGGATGAAAGAACAAGCCACTGTTGCTTGTTATCCATGATGGTTTGCCGGGTAATGTGAATCACAGGTGAGCAGAAGATCCTTTTTTGAGTCAGAGGGGCCATTAAAGCAGGCAGCTTCTTCTGGCTTTGCAATCTGTTTTCTTTGTGTGGTCCCTGAGCATGCGGCACAGCTTCCTGCTTTAGCAGTTTAGTGCTAGATCATGCTTATGTCACCAGCAGCACTGAAGTCTGCCTTCAGGATGCAGCCTCCGATTACAAATATATTTCATTTGTATGGCAGCAAGGTGGAAACCGTGAAGCAGAAGCAGCCCAGCTTTGATATTTGTGTGGCTCTTACATGGCGAAAACACATTAAAGGCAAATATAATCTTCTAATGCAGAATTTAGGCAGAGTTGCTCCCATTGCTTCTAAAGGAAGAGGGGATTAAAAGCTAACACCACCTTGACAAAGCAGTCACATAATTCCCGTGCAGTGTAGCTAGAGCAGTCAGTCTTACAGACCCAGAGCTTTGTGATGTGGAGAAAATTGATCTGTCAGATAAACAGAGATGGATAAACTGATGTAGAAAGTGTTCCAAGAGCAAGCTAGAAACAATAAGCCATTTCCTCAAACCAATTTAAAAAGAAGATGCCCATTTTTAATTAATCAGTCTGACTGATTTGTCCAGTGGTGACCTGATGTTGTTGCAGGCAGGTCCCTGCTGTACAGGCCAACTTTGCTTTAGTGAATGGGTTTGTGACTTACGGCAGTCCAATCCCATTTCTCACAGCGTCCCTGATTTGGCATTTTCTACTGCACTGCCAACACCTCATGCAATTCCTTTCTTCCTTTTGACATTCTACAATTCTGGCCTTAGGTAAAAATATTACTGGTGTCCAACCGGCTTGAGCTGTGCTGCCAAAGGCTTAGAAGATTGGATTAGGTAATGTCTTGGAAGTTTATTGTCTTAGAAGACTTCACCATTATTCTTCAGTGGCAGCAGCTGTAGTCTCCAGTACAGGTGGAATGACCACATAACGCATTGTGAGAGATGAGGGAATTCATCACAGAAATAGTGTAAATCAGGACACAGAATTGCACAACAGAACTGGATATATGCAGATGCAAATCTAGAAATAATTACACTTATTTAAATGGAAATAAATATCATCATGGAGGGAAAGGTAGTGATCAGATGACCTGTTTATATGCTTGCTCAGTCTGCTGTCAAAGTGCTTACTATTGATGGGCAACTTCAAGGCCTCGTCTCTCTGGTTCTTTTTTAACCAGGCGTGGACCAAGGAGTCCATGGACCAAGCAACCTGATGTCCTCTAGACATTTTAGATGACATTTCGTATAATTAGTTGCCCTTGCTCATGCTACCTGATGGGAATCCAAAACTTCTAGAGGGCATGAGGTTGCCTACATTTGAAAAAGTGAACACTTACACAGAGAATTGTTTTCTGTAAAGTAAGACATAGGGTCACCCTGAATATAGGCCCTAGAAATGCTAAGTATCTCTTAGTGCTCACCATGCAGTAAATTTCATGTCCTTTGTCCATAAGAGTTCCCATTAGTGGGCAAAGATCTGCATCCAGCTTTTCATGCATATTTTGTTTTGTTGAATTTCGGTATCATATTTAAGCATGATAATGGGTCATTAAGGAATTGCATTCACATGCACAATCCTTGCAGAATACCTCTAACTATCCCTTGAATCTTTTCTGAACATTTGAAACAACATGAAGATGGGCTGCATCTCAGTTTTAAAATAAATAAAAAGTTAGGCATGAAGTTTATTGTTACATAGCCCTCTTCTACTCTGTTTTACTGTAACTAATCACCTGGGATGACCAAAATATATGTACGTGGGTAATATTATTTCCATCCTTCTTTTCAGATCCCTGTACTTCTCAACCTGAGTCAAGATCCTGAAGTTAACTTACCTGTAAAGCCGTTAATCTTTTCATTGGCCCTGGGTGCATGTCTTGGAGGTAAGCAATGACAAGGATTTGTGCGCTGTAATGTCTAAAATTGTCTACACAAACACACAGACGTGAAAGTACCATCTTGCATTTAGGGCTGCAGCTTTTAAAACCAGCCTGCAAGTTTGATGAATTCATCAACACCTTAACTATGAGAACTGTCTGAATCTATTTCACCTGATTCTTGCTTGGATTGGTCAAATCATTTACTATGTGGATTGGTTTTTGGCTACTATCCAGATGATGTGACTGCAATCCAAGCATCCAAATTGGGCCCCATTGGTTTTGGAGCTAAGATAATTTTGTGACCTATGAGCATGAGCTATAAGCAGAGAAGTTCCCAGTCACAGACTCACTAGGGAGCCTTGGGAAAACCAGTGTTTCTCAGCTTCGTCCCTATTTTATCACATCACCTTCTATAGTTTCTATCTATGCAAAAAACCCTGACTACGCTTATGCCTATATTCTCCAATCCTCTTCTACATTGTATCTGCCTGTGTGTAAGTCCCTCCAGTGCTAGCCAGGAGCAGTTTGGGTTTACCAACTTCTTCTACCCTGCTTTGCCAGAGTCTTGACTGTGTGACAAAGGCTTCACACACAGAGTTATGTATGAGTAGGTCACCTTTATGCAGCCATTGAAAATGCTGTCGCCAGTGTATGCCTAGCAAAAGGAATAGCTTGCAGGTACAATACTGCTACCTCCACTCATGTTCTCCAAACCCATGGTGGAGATCTGAAGGAAGCTTTGGAGCATGATAAAGTACCTGGTCCATTTCAGTGCATCTTGTCCTCTTCCTTTTTGTAATGTTGTTGGTCTTCAGTGTTTCTGACCACCCTGCTTGGATGGAAGAATTTAAGGCAATTGTTTTGGGAATTTTTCCATAACACCATGTAGAAATGTCTGTTTTTCAGAATCTTAAGTCTTGTTTGTGACATTTCCTTTCCCAATTTTGTATTTTTAGAGAAGCACACAGCAAAATAGCCTTTGAAAGTAAAATAGAAAAGACTCTATCAAAGCAGGAAGTTTGTGCCTTCTTGTTAAGGTTAGGCTTGGTGGATTTCAGATCTCAGGTGGATGCTTATGATATGGATTTTACTGCAATAATTTTCCATTTGTTTTATTGTCTGTTTAAAGATCACATTTACATTTAGTTGAAATATTCAAAGAAAAAGTCCAAAAGGTGTTCAGTGTGATCAGATATTTTATTAGAAACTACAGAGTTACACATAACTTTTGTTCAGTTTGTTGTGATTTTCCTTATTGCATATATATGAGGATATGTTCTGTGCCATGAGCTGCTCGAACTGTTCTTCTAGTCAGAGTCACTGTCTAGGAACAAATGACCACAATATGCAGTATATTGGAAGCATGTTAATACTGTGCTTAAGAGTATACATACTTAGTATTTAAAACAAAGAAAGAAATTACAAAAAAGCACTAGTAAGGTCCCATGTACCAAACTGGGACCATGTCATGGGAAAGAGACAAACGATTGGCTACAAAGCTGCAATTTATATGAAGCCAATTGAAATAAGTAATAAAGGGCATACATTTTGAAATTAATTTTAATCCTGATAAATTCCTGCTTAGCTGGTTGAATTTTTAGATTAAGTGGATTTATATTTTGTCAAATGTTATTATTCAAATAAGCAACCCCACAAAGGAGTGTTATGGATTCGGTTTATTTGTAGTTTATAAAAGCAATATACAGCAGCGATCTGGGAGCTCTTTAATTCATCTTTATGCTGATTATTCTCTTTATATTCCACAAACACTGGTTGTACATAAGTTGCCACCACATATTAAAATAATACAAACCAACCAAAGCTTTTTTGTTTGTTTGGCCCAGCACTGTGCCAATATACTGTGTCAATATAAGAAAAAAATACACATTACATTGAGTTTGTTTGGTGACACAGTTTGAAGTGTTTTTGAACTATTCAGTTTGAAGGGTTTTCAGTTATAAAAGAGTAATACATTAATCAACATCTCATTAACAACTCATTTCAAACATATTCACCAGTTTTCACATACAGTACGTGTTCTCTAATTTTGGAATGACCAAAGATCCTATTGGAAATAAAACGGATACCATTTTCTGAGTAATATAATTGATATAAATACGTAGGTACTCTGTTTAACTTAGTCTGCTGTACCTTCCTCATCCGCATTGCTATTCCTTCACCAGCTAAGAAAGCGAATTAGGTTAGAGTTTTCCTTCTTAGCAGTCATTCAGTCCCCCTGATGGTACTTCCCACAGCTTCCTTCTGCTGACACCTCTGACAGCACATTATCACATCAAAATTTTTGGTATTTGCTTATTCTTTCATTATTTTTATCTTGTTCAGATTCTCGCTAGGGTCACTTTACTGCCATTTGGGCCCAAGAGTGGGGCAACTGTAATCTACAAACTAGTTAACTTTTGAGAGAGGCACACAGGAAAGGTGAGGTGCTTTTATGACAAACGGTTTCCTAGAAAGAAAACAACTATTGCTCCATTGATAAGTTTAGGCAACAACGTTGTTTAATGGATGAAATGTCCTGCTCAGTTAATAATATTGAAGAGGGAGTGGTGTCTCCATTTCATCAAACTGGAAATGCTGCTTCTTGATTCATGATACTTAACCAGCATGATAAGAAACCCCTGCTTGATTAATGCATGCTTTTTCTTATTTTATCTATTAGCCCAGGAGGATACTGCCAATTTACACTGTAATCCTAAGCATGTGTACTTCCATAGGATAAATATGTTTATGGCTGCAGGTTTAATTATTTTGGCAGAAGCTTCATATAATTTGTGTGATTTCAAAACCAAGGCAGAGAGCTTGCTATCTGTTCGCACTGGGGTCATGGAGTGTTGCATGTGCTCTTATAGCAGCTGATGGAAATACAAAATTAAAGAAACACCATCTGTGCTTGGGAATGAACCATGGGGTTCCACACAGCTTCTTCCATCCATTGCTCCTCTTTTTCATGAAGCTGCCTCCTGCCCCTTTGAAGCATTGATTGGTATTATGCTGTTAACTGTAACAGTTAACTATCTTTGTAAAGATGGTGTTAGCCTTAGCTCAAGCTACTCCCCAGCTCCCAATTTTACAATGTTTGTTTTCTAGTGGAAAAAAAACACTTTTTGAAATTGTAAAGTGGAAGCATCCTTAAGAATAGATAGCCTTAGTTAAACATAAAACCAAGACTGACGCAGATGAGCTTTCATTTGTAAAACTGTAGCTAGCACATGCCTGCATGGAATTCTAATAATAACCTTAGCAGAACAAGAAGCATTTATTTATTTATTCGCTATAGTCCACAATGGTGGAGGACAGGAAGGCCTGGAGGAATGTTGTCTATGGGGTCTCAATGGGTCGGACGCGACTTCGTGACTAGCAACAACAAGTCCACCTTTTTACTTCCAAGGAACTCAAGGTAGCTTTAGTAATTCCCCTCCTCCTTTCAATTTATTCACAACAACCCTGTGCGGTGGGTTGGGCTGTGACACTGACTGGCCCAAAGTCACCTGGTGAGCCCCAAGATAGAACCCATATCTCCCGAGTCCCAGTTCCACACTCTTAGTCATGATGCTTCACTGGGTCCCTTCAGTCGAGTTATAGTCCTAGACTACCAGTTGCCAAGACTTAGTGGCACCTCATGAATGGTCTCTGAACTGTTTGAATTCTTGTTTCAGTGGAGCACATGTTTGATGATGCTATGATTAGCACTGAGCTGAAGCAGGGAGGCATTTATTGCAAAAGCTTTCATGAACTATGAAAAGTACTTCCCTCAGTGGCTGGGTGGACAGCAAGTGGAGTATGGCTTTTCAGAGGAGAACTGAAATGCAAACATAACTGCCCATTTTACAACACTATATTCAGCTTCTTGACAGGGCTCCCAAGTCAGATCTGCAGCAGGACTTCTCAATGACAAGAGAAGAAAGGGAGAGTCTTCTCCATCATATTTAATAACAATTCTCATAATTCACATACAAATGCTTATTCTGAAAAGTTGGCCCTACATTTTTTTCACTCCTTGGGGAAGTGGGAACAAACGTGCTTCTTCTATTTTTTTTTAATAAACCAATGCTCCAAATGTGCAAAACAAATTTTCAAATATTTATTTACAAAATAGGATATGAGTTTTGTTTTGACAGAGTTACAGACTCTTTCTTCAGACTCCTGTCAACCATTTCTTCTCTCCCTTTTAATTAAATAATAATTTCTTCTCAATTTTTCTGTGCTTCTTTAAATGTTGTCAGTAAAGGATCCTGTGATACATATGTGTATTTTTAAAAATACTTCCAGTAACTGACGGAAGCTGAAATGTATTTCAGCAAACGAGCTCCACAAGCATTCTGCTATGGAGTAAAGTGCAAACATTTACTATGGCAGGGCTGGCCAGACTTGCTCAATGGAAGAGCCACAGATGGTCAATGTCAGGCGTTTAAGAGCTGCAATTGGACACCTGCAGGCAGCAGCAACAGGTGGCAAGTGGCAAGCAGGTGCCCATGGCTCCCACAGCAGCAAGTGGCAAAGTGCAGTATAAACTCAAAGAGCCCCATGTGACTCCTGAGCCTCAGTTTGCCCACCCCTTTACCATGGGATAAGAATGGTTAAACCAGTCAATTTTATCTACTGACTTGCAAGATAAACCTACTTTGGGGAGATCATTTGCAATGAAAGTGGCTCAAAAAATAACAAGTCATAGAATTACTGAGTTGGAAGGGGCCAAAAGGCTATCAGTTCCAACCTCCTGCTCAGTGCAGGACACCAAGTTAAACCATTCCTCTCAGATGACTGTCCAGTTGCATCTTGAGTGCATCTAGTGTGGGAGAGCCCACAATCTCCAGTTGTTCCATGTCCTGCATTCTGGGAAGATTGAGAAGAGATCCTGTCCTTCCTTTTTGTGGTAGCGTTACATGACCTTGCGGAGTGCTATCATTTCTCCTCTCAGTCTTCTCCTCTCAGAGCTAAAAATGCCCAGTTCTTCTTCTCTCTCCTAGTAGGATTCTGTCTCC